GGGCACGTTTAGGCCCAAACGGCCAGAGGCCGGTACCGGACCAGCCCAGGACCAACCGGCGGCATTTCAGAGGCTGCCACATTTTGGCGCCAAACCCAGTTTGAATCTGGACCGTCGATTCAGATCAACGGTCCAGGCCGGTAGGTACCAGTAGGCAAGAGGCCGGCCCAGCACTACAAAAGGCTGGGTACCAGCCTCAGTCCGGTAGGTTAGTATGGACAAGGTTAGTCTTCAGGATTAGCGCGGCAGCCAGCGTTAGCTCAATTAGCGCAGCGCTGCAGCAGCAAGGAGCAGCGAGACAGCGAGGCTCAGCGGCGAGCAGGATTAGCGCCAGTTACCGACCCAGCCCTTGCAGCGCCACAGCCAGGTATCAGGGAGGAAGGCTTCGCCTTCTCTCCCTCCTTTCCTCTACTGCTCTCCTCTCCTCTCTCTCTCTCTCTCTCTCTCCTCCTACCTTCTCGGTCTACTTCTACTTCTCCTACGGGACTACTTGGGTATGGGAGATGGTTACGAGTTCTGATGACATCTGAGACAGCGACATTGGGACTACGAGTTGAGGACTATTTGGGATCTGATTTCATCTTCCTTCTGAAGGTGTACTTGACGTTGTGAGATCGATATCTGAGATATTGTGAGACTTGACATTCGCGACATTTTGGATTTTCGTCACTTCTGACAATTCAAGATACTATCTTTGGAGACATTGAGTTGACGTCATCTTCCCTCTCCTCCTCCTTTCGTCTCTCCCTCTCTCCCTTCGTCTGTGGATGATCTTGGTCCCTGGCCTTTCGTCTATGTCTGAGGCCAGGGCATTCACACCCCTGATGAATGTTGGAGAATGTTTCGATCGCAGTCCGAGTCAGGTCTGAGTCAGTCCAAGGTATCTCAAGTCTTCCGCTTGCATTTGTATAACTCTGTATTATCTGGTTGGTTCTGGGAATCTGCACCATACTTATGACTGTGTTTCACGAGTATGCAACAGTTTGGTATCGGAGCAGACCAGCATTGGATGACTCACCATTGATTGATTGATTGATTGATTGATTGATTGATTATCAATACCTGCACTCTGTTATCATTAAATCGCAAGTTGCAAATTTTTTTTTTTTTCTCTCGTACTTTCATGGTTAATTAGGTCGTTAAAGTTATACTTCTAGGTTTGCAACATTTCTCCATATCGCGCAATTAGGAAATCGCTAATTACGAGTAAACCTAATTAGCGCTAATTAGGGTTAGTCCTTACCTAATCTAAACGACCTACCTAACCTATAGGAAGTAAGTGCCAGCCAGGCACCGCGCCAATCAAGGCTGATCGCGCCTGAGCAAGGCCATATTCGAACTGCAACTTCACGGAACTTTCACTTTTTGCAAACTGCATCTTTTTTTTTTTTGCGTTTGAAAGGTTGAATCTTTCCAGCAAATTGTGTATCTTCCTGCTACCATCTCTACTAAATGAGTGACCTCGTGATGATGCTAAATTCTTCCGATGAAATTTCGTGAATTTTTTTTGAAAGTTATGTCTAAATGTTTAAACTTGCTTAAACTTATTCATTTCTTTTATTGATGCAAATTTAAATATTCTTGATTAAATATTTAACTTTTGTGAAATTCCTTATTGCAAATGTAAATATTCGCTAATCAAGTATTTAATCTTTTGCCGAAATTAAAATTTTATTAATTTCTATTTTTCGATTAAATTTTTATTTAATTTCCCAAAATTCGAAAATTCGTCGGGGGAGGGGGGGGGGGAATTTTTTTTTTCTCTCTTGATTAGTGTCAAGGTCAGGGCGGAACGGGACTGTCTATGCATTGCTTGCCTGCCCTCCCTTCTTCCCACCCCTACTTTCTCTTTCCCTCCTCTCGGTCCTACGGACTGCAGTCTCCGGACACGTCAGCAGAGCGACACGTCAGCAAAGTGCCATGTCAGCAGAATGCCACGTCAGCACAGTGACACATCAGCAGAGTGACACGTCAAGTGCCACGGCAGCAGAGTGGCATGTCAGCACAGTGCCATGTCAGCAGAGTGCCACGTCAGCAGAGTGCCACATCAGCAAGCAACGTGCAGCCGGACACTAAATGTGCTGCAGCCAACGATTGGCAGAGCGTGGATCCAAGGCAGCCAAGCCCCAACAGGGACCCAAGGCACCACAGATCCCGCGCAAGCGACGCACAGCCATGGCTGCAGCAGCCGGCCATGCCGACAGCAACATGCCAGGCAGTCCCAAGAGGCCGGTTCCCCCTCCTGTGCCAGTTCAACGGGCCGATGAAGACGCATTCGCGTTTCTCGAGCGTCTCCAACAGTATACGGAGACCAATGCCACCGAACTCCGCACATGGGAGAAGGAGAATGCCGCCCGACGGGAAGCCATCCGACTCCAACAAGAAGCGGAACAGGCAGCACGTCAGCAGGCCGCTGCCGACTCTGCAGCAGCCGCAAGGCAGCAGCAGCAGCAGCTCGAGGCAAGTCAGACTCAGGCTCGGTTCCAGGCTGCCATGAACCTTCTCAACGAAGAAGCCGCATACGGCAGAGTACTTCGACAGCAGCACTTCCGAGCAACTGAGGAGCAAGAAGAACCAACCGAGGACGAGAGAAGCAGGGAAAATACAGCAGTCTTGATTGAGAACCTGCTGTACACGTGCAATTGGCAACAACGTGAACTGTTGGCTATGCGGCAGGTCCTCATCCGCCATGAAGGCAACTTCAAGGCAATGGATCAGAACATCACTGCCCTGCAGGCCGACACCAGCATGCTGGACGCGGCCGACAGCCAACAGCAGGCCATCAACGACCGACTGCAGGACTCCGTCGATGCCGGGATGGCACGACTGTCCGCAGTCGAGTCAATTGGCGGTGCAGTTTCAGACAGCAGCCCAGTTTTGGCCGCTCAAGCCAAACAGCTCGATGAGCGGATCAACCACTTGGTCGCATCCCTCGGCGACATCAGCAAGTTTGTTGGAGCGGCGACAGTCAGCAATCAGCTGCAGACGCTCAGCGACCGCGTTGACCAACGACCGGCCGCTGCCACCAAGGAATGGAAGATGCCGAACTTCAAGATCGAGAAGTTCGACGACTATCACAAGACTGATCCGCTGCAATGGTGGATGGCGTTCAACGCGGAGGCCGACGTACATCATACTCCGCCCCTACGGCAGATGGACGCATTGTACCTCCAACTTATAGGCGGGGCGCAAGAATTCATGACGCACATGGCCGTCACGCTCGAATGTACCATCGCCACCCTCCACACGAAGATCACGTGGGAGGAGTTTGAAAAGAAGTTGAAGACCCGGTTCATGGTGAACAACGACAAGCCTCACGCCTTGAACAAGATCTTCCACATCTTCCAAGGCCAGCAACCTTCGCAGGAATAGCTGACGGAGTGGCAAAGACTCGTCGCCACCCCGGAGTTGAACCTGCCGTTCGACTCAATCCGAGGCGAGTTCTTCGCCCGATCTTGCGACGCCTTGACAGCTGCTCTCAGCAGCGAATTCGAGCATAAGAACTTTGACGACATGATCGCCAAAGCTAGAGAACTTATACAAGGTAACCGGCGTGCGACTAACGAGGTCCGCCAACAGCCCGGTTACGTGGAGAAAGGCAAGGGACAACGGACGCCGCAAGTAGCAGCAGACCAGCAAGGAACAAGTGAGGACCACACAGCCGCTTCAACATCAAGTGATGGAGATGTGGCGGCAGCGATACCACCGCGACGCACGAAACCCCGAAGGGGAAAGAAGGCGAAAGAAGCGTCGGCGGAGGGAGCACGACAGGCACCATGGACGAAATTTGGCATTACCGAAGAAATGTTCAAGTTGCGACTGAAATGGTCATGCTGTTTGTGGTGCAATAGCACCAAACACATCACCAGTGCCTGCCTCGACAAGGACAAGGAAAATGTCAAGCGTTCGGGCTCGGGAAACTGAGCATCGCGGGAAGTGCAGCAACAACATTTCCCAGTCCGCCGGAGTCGGCTGCCTTGCTAGCAGCCTCTCTCACATTCGGGGACACCGCGGTAGTCGCAAGTTCTCGCGTTGAGTTTGAGAACTATGCTGTCGAGCTGGTCCCACCGTTGAACCAGCCTCTCCATGTGCAAGATTCAAGCGTATGCGCGGCAGTTCCGCCGTCGGACAACGAACCGGTTGCTTCGCCAGCCCTTCTATCTTGGACGAGACTTGAGGATCTCGACCCATTGACGGTTGAGGACTTCCAATGGTTGCCTCTTCCCTCCACTGGTTCTTTGCCAACTCCGCATTGCAATGCCTTAATGGCACATCTACGCGAATACTTGCACACTGCAGTACCACCTCCGTCGACGGACGGCGGAGTAGCGGTTGTTGATCTTCGTAACTATCTCGCGAAGATCGACCGCGAGTACGCAACGCAACGGTACGTCGACAATGACGCGCCGCTCCTCTACATCCGCATTCAGATCGGAAAGGCGACATGCAGTGCCTTAATCGATTGTGGAGCGACTCGCAACTACATCAGCCAAGACTTCATGGCACGCGCTGGGCTGGGCCCGCGCGTTCGAAGGAAAAGTCAGCCTACGCACGTCACGTTGGCCAATGGTCACACGCAAAAGTCAATCGACTGATGCGTTGACTCGGTGCCCGTGTACTTTGCCCCGCTAGCATGCGAGGCCGTGTCTTTCGACATATTGGACACCAAGTTCGATATGATCCTAGGCATGTCGTGACTACAAAGAGAAGACCATCCGGTGAACTTCCATCGACGCACCGTTCACGTTCGTGATCGGTGTGGCGAACTAGTCCCGTGTACGGTGCCGCTTCCTCATCCTTTGATTGGTTGTCACGTGGTATCCGCGGCGAGCATTCGCCAATCCATCCGGTGGAACGACATCGAGGAGATGGGCATATGTTTTCTTCATGCCCTCCCACCCGGTGATCAGCCCAAGACGGATACGTCGGACCCACGCATCATTGAGCTGTTGGACAGCTATGAGGATGTCTTTCAAGCTCCCGCCGGAGTCATACCGGATCGGCCCATACGCCACGGGATCACTCTCGAGGACGGCGCCGTACCTCCGCGCGGATGTATCTACCGCATGAGCGAAGAGGAACTTCAAGTGCTTCGGGCACAACTAGACGACCTCTTGGCCAAGGGCTGGATTCGCCCTAGCTGTTCGCCATACGGTGCTCCCGTTCTCTTCGTCCGGAAGAAGAACAAGGACCTTCGTTTGTGCATCTACTATCGGAAACTTAACGCGCAAACGATCAAGAACGCCGGCCCTCTCCCTCGGATCGATGATCTTCTCGAGTGACTAGGCGGCGCCAAGTACTTCTCGAAGCTTGACCTCAAGTCCGGATATCATCAGATTGAGATCCCGCCAAGAGACCGGTACAAAACCGCGTTCAAGACGCGATATGGGCACTTTGAGTGGATCGTCATGCCTTTCGGTCTCACCAATGCCCCGGCTACTTCCCAAGCGGCCATGACGACGGAATTCCGCGACTTCGACCGCACCGTGCTCATTTACCTCGATGATATCTTGGTTTATAGTTGGACGCTGGACGAGCACCTCGAGCACCTTCGCGCCGTATTGGAGCGGCTTCGTATTGCCAAGTACAAGGCGAACCGCGACAAGTGCGAGTTTGTCCAGCAAGAGCTGGAGTACTTAGGCCATTACGTTACGCCGCAAGGCATTCGTCCGCTCACGGACAAGGTACAAGCTATTCAAGATTGGCCGGACCTCAAGTGTACTACGGACGTCCGCTCCTTTCTTGGCTTGGCATCGTACTACATGCGCTTCGTCAAAGGATTTCAACGCATCGCTGCACCATTGTCGCGACTTCAGTCCCCCTTGGTGCCCTTCGAGTTCAGCGACAAGGCCCGGCATGCGTTTCACACGCTGAAGACGGCTTTGCTTCAAGCTCCCGTCTTAAGCATCTATGACCCGACTTTGCCCACCAAAGTGACTACGGACGCTTCCGGTTACGGCATTGGCATGGTTTTGGAACAGCATGACGGCACAGACTGGCATCCGGTTGAGTACTTCAGCCAAAAGGTGACACCCATCAACACTCTTGATGATGCGAGGAAGAAGGAACTCCTAGCTTTTGTCACTGTACTTAAGCGTTGGCGTCACTTTCTCCTCGGGCGTCGGCGATTCACGTGGACAACGGACAACAATCCGTTGACGTATTACAAGACGCAAGACACGGTGAGCAGCACGATCGGTCGATGGATGTACTTCATTGACCAGTTCGACTTCACTTCCAAGCACATTCCGGGCTCCTCAAACAATGCAGCAGATGCTCTCTCGCGAAGACCTGATCTTTGCGCCTTGGTGCACTCCACATTCGGCCTCGACGAGAACCTGCAACAGCATTTCGTAAATGGCTACAAGTCGGATCCGGGATTCTCCACACTCTATGCGGACTTATCATCGTACCAACCGCCGGCAAGCAACTATCGCATTGACGACGGCTACTTGCTTCTTCATACATGAGGCAAGGAATTGTTGTGTGCTCCCCAAGACCGCATCTTGCGCACTCGCCTCCTTGGCGAATACCATGATTCGCGGCTGGCAGGAAACCTTGGCGTCGCACGCACACTAGCACGACTCCGCCAGCGATTTCACTGGTCGGACATCATCAGCGACGTCAACCGGTATATTCAGTCATGTGCAGTTTGCCACCGGAACAAAGGGCGCCATCAGCTTCCTTACGACGAACTGAAACCATTGTCGATTCCTCGGGCACCGGGTCTCTCCATTGCTATGGATGTGACCGGTCCTTTACCTCACGATCGCCTTGGTCATGATGGTATTCTCACGGTCGTTCACCGTTTGAGCAAGTACGCTCGATTTCTTTCATGCAAGTATCATGCGACGGCTCCCAAGCTCGCACAACTTTTGCATACCGGCTGGTTTTGCAGCCACGGCGTTCCGGAAGACATCGTCAGCGACCGCGACACTCGTTTCATGTCGGCCTTTTGGACGGCACTCATGGTGGAATCCGGCACCAGCATGAAACCGAGTTCCGCACGGCATCCTCAAACGGATGGGCAAGCGGATCGTGCGCATCAGACTGCGCAGATGATGCTCCGCACGCTCATCCGCCCGGAGCAGAAGGACTGGGTTGACCGCCTTCCCGACATCGAGTTCACCTACAACACTTCGGTGCACCCGGCGATTGGCGTGACTCCATTCGAGTTGCACCACGGTGGACGGAAAGGACGTATCTTCGCAGACATTTTGCTTCCACGGGCTGCCGATATAGACGCCGCTTTCTCCCCCGCTTCTACACGGAAGTACAGGGAACTGCTGGCCAAAGCCCTCACAAACATGCAAAAGGCTCAGGTCCATATGCAGCAGCAAGCGAACCGGCGTTGCATCCCATGTCCACTTCGCGCTGCCGACCTAGTTTGGGTCGCCTCCGAGGAATTCACGCTCGAGCAGGACGTTTCGCGTAAGCTCCTCCCTAAGTGGTTTGGACCATGGATGGTCACTTCAGCAGCTGGCGACGACCCCGCGGGTCCATCATTCATCGTTGAGATTCCCTCGCATTTGACGGTCCACCCGATCTTTCACGCTTCAAAGCTGGCGGTTTACACTCCAGCCTCCGCAGCGGATTTCCCGGGCAGACGGTCACAAGACCCTCCTTCAATGGATGGTCATCAGGAGGTCGACCGCGTTCTCACGCATCGCAAGCATGGCAACAAGCCGATGCAGTACAAAGTTACATTCAAGCAATGTGATCCGAACGACATATGCTGGATTTCAAGAGATGATCCGAAGGCGACAGCACCCCTCATCTTCGCGCATTACGAAAAACAGCGACTTGAGAAGGAAGCTGCCCAACCTGCCTGCCCTGTACGGACATCGGACAGACAGCTTCGCCCTCGCAGTTAGCTCGGTCTTTCAAGGGGGGGAGTGTGTGGCATACTGAGCCACACGGGCCCCAGTTAGGGCCCGGTTCCCAGTAGGCAGGATAGGCCTAGGGGGACGGCGGTTCAGACCAGGCCCAGATAGGCCTGAGGCAGGGCACGTTTAGGCCCAAACGGCCAGAGGCCGGTACCGGACCAGCCCAGGACCAACCGGCGGC